GCAGATGTAACTCAGTTCAATCCCTGGGTTTAATCCTCAGTATTGAAAAAAAAAAAAAAAAAAAAAAAGGAAAGGCAGAGGAAGAGGAATCAGGGGGGCCTACCTTGCAGAATTGTTGTAAGGGTCTAAAATCCCACGGAATGTCTGTTGTTCTGGTCTTTCTGCTATTTAGATAGTTGGCCCTTCGTGTCTTCAAGTTCCATATCTGCATCCACAGCCTCAATGAACTGTGGGTAAGAAAGCGTTAGGGAAAAAAAAATCCCATCTTGTTCTGAACATGTGCAGACTTTTGTCACAATTCCCTGAACCACAGGGTACCGTAGGGATTTCCACAGCATTTACACTGAGTAACATTATTTACAGCGTATAGGAGAGGGTAGGTAGGTTCTATGCAATGCTCTACCACTTTCTACAAGAAACGGGAGCACCCGGGGAGTTTGGTGGCCGTGGAAACAAGCCTTTACAGTAGCAGGGAGGATTGCAAATTCCAGAGTAGTTAGGAATCTCTGTTTTGCTCCCTCCTGATCTTCAGGGGGCGCAATTGGAGAAGAAACGCGGGCGGACATAATCTTAAAAACAGGATTTGGCCTTCACTTTGGGCGGAAGTAGATATTGCTCACCGGATATTACCTCAAAAAATAAAACTTCCAGATTTGGAAGTAACTCCAAGGCAAAGTTGGGTACATCTTTAGTTGTGTTCCTACGTATTAGTGTCTAATAAAATACAAGTACGCTGGGGACTTTTTGCGGCATTATTTTTCTAATACTTTGAAGGACTCAGAGCCGGAAGTGTTCATCTTTTCCCTGCCAGGACCCGTAGGCTAGTCCCATCAGCCCTTGCGCGCCCCCATCCCCTCTCTTCCTCGGCGCTGCCTACGGAGGTGGCAGCCATCTCCCTCTTGGTGAGTCTCAATCGCGGGCCATCTGCGCTTCTGCTGGCTCCTTGTGGATCCTGCGATCCCCCGTGAGTAGGCCTTCGTTTAGGCTGCCCCGCTTCGTGGGTATCGGCGGTGACGACCTGTTAGGACCTCTGGGCACCATGGCTTTGGGCTGTGATGGACATCTGCGTCCGGGATTCTGCCCGCGTACGGAGGTCGCGTGGGGTCAATACAGCCGAAGATGACGAGGTGGAGCCCTTTTGATGCGTGGTGCTGGTTGGGGCCAAATGGCGGGGGCGTGAACCTTTCTGGAAGCGGCCGGAGGATCTCACACCAAGCTTGAGGCCGCAGATGAGATCTGCGAGTTTCCAGCTCGCCGATGTCCTCACGGGCTTGTCGCGCCAACTTGTTCCCTAAACTGGTGGCTTCTTTCGATGTCGGGAAAAATCCCAGCACTGGGTCGGGTCTCACCGTCTGGGGTTCGGGTGCTGCCCCAGGCCTCCTGCAGCCAAGCACTCCTTGGGGCGGTGGGATGAGAGCCATTTTCTGGGGGGTCCCTGGGAGAAGCTGTGTTCACAACGAGACCTTTGGGGGGTTGTGCACTTTTGAGGGCACTGCAAGCGTTTGTGTTCCGTGTCGTGTCTATTTTTTGTTTTTTTCCCTCCTGTCTTTTTTTGAGATAAGGTCTTGCTGTGTAGTGCATGGGTGGGCCATCGTGGCCAGTCGTTGGTTTTCTTTTTGGGCTCTGGGCGAAGGGAGCTGACCTCCTGGGATCGCATCTGGAGAGTGGCCAGTGTTCTGCCAGCTTCGGAAACAGGAGGGAGAGCAACCCGGCAGGGCACCCATTCCATTCCCAGCTTGCCCCTGTAGCTGGTGACTGGAAGACACTCTGCAACATCCTTTTGTTTTTTTTTTTTGTTTTTTTTTTAAATTTTTTTATTTATTTATTTGTGTATGTGTGTGGCCAGCTCAGCCCACCAGGGGGCAGGGCTGGCTGGCGTGTGGTGCTGGGGGATTGAACCATGGTCCCTGTGCTTTGCTAAGCTTCTTCTAAGTAGGTGCTTTAGACCACTGAGCCATCTCACCAGCCCTGCAACATCCTTTTGGCCCTGGCTGGAAATTCCTCCTCCTTAGGTCCTCTTGTAAATGAGATCTACCTCCTCCTTTTAAGGCACCATGGCGGCCCTCAGACCCCTCGTGAAGCCCAAGATCGTCAAAAAGAGGACCAAGAAGTTCATCCGGCACCAGTCAGACCGATATGTCAAAATTAAGGTATCCAGGGCTTCTGGCATCACCTTAAGGAGCTAGCCTGGGGGTGTCAGAGCTCTGGGAATGTGGACTTCCTGGGTACCCTTCAGGGCACTGCTGTCTGAAGGGCTTTCCATTTTCTGTCATGTCACCACCCGTTCAATCCTTCACCTCCACCCAATCTTCTACCCTAGTGATTTTTATTTACCATTACTCTTTCTACCTATAAAGTAGTAGAGGTCCTGTTAACCAGGAGCAGTACTTGCATGCTTGAGTACTTGATTCTCCTTCCTTTAGTCCTTTTCTCTATCCTAAAGGAAGAGCTGGCCTCTTGCACAGAGGCTAACCTGCTCACGTGTTATGTTTTGCAGCGCAACTGGCGGAAACCCAGAGGCATCGACAACAGGGTGCGGAGGAGGTTCAAGGGCCAGATCTTGATGCCCAACATAGGTTATGGAAGTAACAAAAAGACAAAGCACATGCTGCCCAGTGGCTTCCGGAAGTTCCTGGTGCACAATGTTAAGGAGCTGGAGGTGCTGTTGATGTGCAACAAGTGAGTTGGCTCAGCCCATGAACACTCGTAACAGTGCTTAAGGGTGCTTAAGGTTCCTTGCACAGCTTAGATGATACCTGGTCAGGAGGTTAGGGACACTGTTTTGGGGCACAAGCCTCACAACTGAGGGACACTTGGCTGCTGGAACAGGGAGCTGCCAGCTGAGAGGCAGGGCTTGAGAGCACCTAGAGAGGAGGTGGGGGGCTGACTGGCCACAGAACAGAGATGGGAGTGCCCATGGGGCGGTGACCCAGGTGCCTTGAGCAGGGTTGGTCCTGATGAGCTTGGTATGAGACGGGTTGAAACCAACCTGAGGAATGGCCTGTTTTTGTCATGGGGGGCTTTCTTGACACCTGGAGTCTGGGTGTCAAGGAGTAGTGCTGAGATTAGCAGAGAGCTGGGTTTTTGTTTTTGTTTTTTTTCTTTTTTTGGAAGAAGCTCTGGGGCTGCTTTATCTTAGGGTGTGGAGTGTGGTGGCTGTGTGTATGCGTGGGTACAGCATTCTGCCTGGGTTGGTTCCATCTCCAGGGTAAGTGTAACCAAGCACTGAGTGCCAGGTGGTAGGGTTTTTTTTAAAGATGAATGCAGGAATTGATGGCATGTTGACGGCTGGGTTGTGAGACTTACATACCTCAGCATACCTGTTGTGTGACAAAAACAGTGCTGTTTACATTATGTATATTAGAGCAGTTTGGTGGTGGTTATCAAGCTCCATGGAATTACTCTTGGAATTTTTTTACCCATGTGTTCCACTGGGCATTTATCCTGAAATAAGCAAAAGCAGGAAAACCTCAAGTTGACCAGGCTGAGCTGGCACTTTTCTCCCTGCCTCAGCTTCCTAGAGTGCTGGAAATACAGAATGTGCCATCATGCCTGACAATTTATAACACTTGTGGTAGCAGCAGTAATCAATTGGAAAACAACTGAAAGCATAATTAGCAAGTTGTAGAGTACTGGGATGAACTTGTACACATCCGTTCAAAGTGACTCATGAGCAGTGTGGAAAATGCCCTATGTATTTATTTTATTTTATTTTTATCACCATGTAGCTCAGGCTGGGCTTGAACTCACTGTGTAGCCCAGGCTGGCCTTGAATTCACAGTGATGTGAGTACTGGGATTACACACACGCGCCACCACACCTGCTTCCTGCACGCTTACTATGATAGGTGTGATGATTTTTAAGTATTCTGGTGGACAACTACATGGGCGTTTTAGAGGAACGAAAATGTATGATACAGCATATCTTGAAAATAAAGGTTAACTGGGTATGTTGGCATATGCCTGTGATCCCAGCACTCAGGAGGCTGAGACAGGAAGATCACTGCATTAGGGTAACCTGAACGTGTCTCCAAAAGCCTGAAAGAAAGCAATGGTAGCACCTACCTGAAATCCCAGCCATGTGGAAGGCTGAAGCAGAAGGATCACAAGTTCAAGGCCAGCCTGGACAATTAAGTAAAAATTCTGACTCAAAAAATTGAAAGGGGAGTGGTGGATGTAGCTCAGTGGCACAAGCGCCTGCCTGGCAAGCACAAGATCCTGAGTTTGATTCCTGATATAAAACAAAAAAATTGCATAGGGGTAGGAATGTAGTTCATTGCTTCCTGTGTCCCATCCCCAGGAGTACAAAAGGAAAACATGAAGACATTTTTAGGCATTGTTACCTTAGGCTCCAGTAGGTTCTTCAGTACAAAACAAACCCCTGGTCTGTTAATGCCTCACTGTACCAATCCTGGTCCCAGAGCTTTTGGAGAGCTGCATGCGTGCCCCTGCCTCACTTGCTTCCCCCACAGGCCTGTTTTCTTTTTTCGTGGAATCAGGGATTGAATTCAGGCCCTTGTGCTTGCCAGGGAAGCACTTACTTTACTGTAGAGCCATCTCCCTGGCCCATAGGCCTGCTCTCTGTTGTGGCTTCCCAGTGGAGTGACTGCCCTGCTGGTACCTCTGAAGTCATGTCCTCATGGGGGTGTTCCCTCTGAGGTATGGTGGGGCTGGTGTCTTCCCTGCCACCAGAGTTTTGTCCACTGAAGTCTGGCAGGGTCTTGGCCATTGTGGTTATCAGGTCTTAGTCATTATTGAGTGTGTTGGCTAAGGCTTCCCACCCAGGACCATTGAGCTCTCATTGGGTAGCTGCGCAGAAGCCTGAGAGATCTGGGCCCATCTACTCCTCACTGCAACTCTTGATTCCTTGCTTTCCTCGCCTGTGGAACAGCTCCCACCCCCCTCCGGCCTGCCTGCTATGCAGGGTAAATGGAAGGGTTCTAGCAAGACCCCAACACCTGCGCCCTCTGCTTCAGCTGGGGGCAGTGACCAAAGCCCCATACCCACGTGTTCAGGACTGGCTGCCCCTCACCACCCACTGCTTCTCTTCTCAGGTCTTACTGTGCAGAGATTGCTCACAACGTCTCCTCTAAGAACCGCAAGGCCATCGTGGAAAGAGCAGCCCAGCTAGCCATCCGAGTTACCAATCCCAATGCCAGGCTGCGCAGTGAAGAAAACGAGTAGACGGCCTGTGTGCATGTTTATTTGTGCTTCAGTAAATCACAAAAAATGTTGTCTGGTGTGTTCTTTCCTCCCCTGGCATTAACTTTCAGTGTCTGACACTTTGTCAGGGGGGTGTTGCCTGGCGCCTCCATGACATCTGTGTGAAAGGATTTGCATGGAACACTGACTGTCTTTGCACAGGAAATGGCCTCAGAGGCCCCAGTGCTGGGGTGAGGACAAGGGGACATGTGACAGATGGTCACTCTTAGCCTCCCTGCTGGTGACTGCCCATGTCCCTGTTGCATTCCTGGGTGAACTAGGAAGTATGTGAATTTGTTTAACTCTTCCCTACTGTTCCTAGGTGAGGCCAAAAAACTGCCCTTAACTCCCATACAGCAATACAGGAGACACCAAAAACAAGGTTTTGCCAGCTGTGGTGGGACAGGCCTGCAATACCAGTGTTGACAGTCTGAAGCAGGAGGATCACTGCAAATAAAGACAGGCCTGGGCCATGTAATTCAAGGCTAACCACTACACAGCAAGTACCTGTCTTGATTAAAAACTTGGTGGGGACTGGGCTTCCAGGTAGTGGCAGGCAGGCCTCTGAGAACTCCAGATGGCACTGTGTTGTAACTAACCCTGACTATCATAAGGATTGAGCATCTGTTTTAGCCAAGGTTAGGATTACACTTGTGCATGTGGTGCTGTTTTGCACAGGCTCAGAGTGGTGTAAGGACCAGGCTGGGAAATGCTTCTACACTACCTGGCCTCAGCCTAGTGGGGACACTGGTCGCCCTTCTGTCTAGGGTGCGGGCGAGCACCTGTCCTGAGTGAAATGAATCTTTCCAGGATAAATGCTCTGTCTACACTTTCTATAGAACACAATAATACTGTAGAATAGTTTTTTATTTATCACAGGAAAGGGTCTGCCCTATGTCTTAAGTACTGAAAACTAGAAGTTGCACATTTGAAACCACAATTTGCTATACATCACATTTTGAAGTTGTACATGAGACACTTGAGCCAGGTGAGGCCGTCTCCGTCCTTTGTCAGAGTCCGTGCATTTGAGTTGCTGATGCATTGCCCATATTATGAGTACATGGATTCCTTTTTTTTTTTTTCTTCAAATACACAGATTCTAAACTGATCAGTGCTGGAGTGGGAAGCTGGGACCACTCCAGACCCCTACCACTGTGAGCAACCTGTTCCTGAGTTCTCTGGAGAGGCAGGGGCTGTCCCCTTCCAGGACACCAAAGTGGCTAGATGAAAGTGTAACCAGAACTCGGACTCATGAGTTAAAAGGTGCATCCTAGGCCAGGAGTCACAGCCTGGGGCTTCAGCCAGATGGAGCTTAGGCCTACAGCTGGGTGGCCAGGCCCTAGGCAGACTAGCTGAGCTCCATGGGCTCTGCACCAGGCACTGAAGCAGGGTCCTTCTGGATGCTGTCGAAGAGGGCGGTGAGCTCAGTGCTGGAGTGAATCTGGGCTGCGAAGTCGGCCATGATGGGGCTCCGCCCCGCCTCTGGGATTGTGAGCAGGGCCACTACTGCCCGCATGGCCGAGCGCTTGAGCTCATCCTGCTTCTCAAACTCCTGTTTCACAGAGCCAGCTTTGACCTGGGATGGGAGACAGTGAAAGGGTCCTGGGGCTCACCAACTGGGGCTTCCTCTGCCTGGGCCCTGTACACTCTAAACTCAATTCCACTGCTTCCCGATCTCAGGCAGATGTCCTTTACACTTTGGCCCATTTGAGCTTTTCGTGTAGGTGACCTCCATGCTCCCTATCTAGCCTGCCACTGCGGCTTCCATCAGTCTATAACAGTACGGGGGTGAGGGGGCCTGCCCATAAGCTCAGTTGTTTCAGTGCCTGCTTAAGTGAAGCAATCAGGCTTGGGGTTCAGTGGTTCATCCCCAAATCCTCATGCCTTACCAGACTTGCCCTTAAGGCATCCTGAGCCAGCACCCCCCCCCAATCCTAACAGTGCCAGAGACTTCAAAGCAGGGTGCAGCCTGTACTACAATGCTGAAACCCCACAACAACCTACCCTGCCCTTGTTCTCCCTACACGTGCCTGCTGCCACAACTGATGGCAAACCCCTGAAGAGCTGGCACAGCTTCACAACCCCTTCAATGGGTCTACCCTTGTGCACGTGCCAGGTTCTTTTCCATACTGGAGTAAAGTGCAAGACTCTTAGCCGGGCTCATCCTCCCCACCGCATGCAGTGGGTAAGAGCAGGGCTTCAGGCCAGAAAGCCCTATGAGCTGGGTCCTGCTGCAGAGTTGCTGTGAGCATTGAGTGATGCACACCCCTTCCGTGAGCCCCTAGGACTACCTGGTGGGGCTGGAGCAGCACCCAAAGATTAACACACTAATAGCTCCCCCATAAACTATATGAACTTGGTCATCTTTCTTCCTCCTCCTTTTCTTTTTCCTCCTCCTCTTTTCTCTACTTCTTCCTTCTTTCCCCCCTTCTTTCTTTTTTTTTCTTTTTGGTGGAACTGGGGTTTTGAACTCAGGCCCTTGTGCTTGCCAGGCAAGCGCTTATTCTACCGAGCCATTTCCCTGTCCTCCCCCCACCCCTTCTTTCTTTCAGACAGGGCCTCACTATGTATTGCAGGCTGGCCTTAAACTCACTATGTAGCCTAAGCTGCCTTTAAACTGCTGATCCTTCTGCCTCAGTCTCTAGGGTTCTGGGATTACAGTCATGCATCACCACTCCTGGTCTATGTGACTTACAATAAGAGGAAATTAGTCATAAACAGTCTCACTCAAGCCCCATGCCAAGCAAGTCACTCAAAACCTTCTGTTTTTCCAAGCTTTGTAGATTTCACAACTGGGGATAAGGGAGGGAGCTGTTACCACAATGCCAAGGGCCCACTGGGGGATTCTGTGGAGAACCCAGGACACCAGGATGCAGTTTCCCTGTCAGCATCCAGTGCGCCACCTTCTGGCACTTGAGGCCCTGCAGCTCCTTTCCTGGGACCAAGGGCTCAGTGCTACCAGCTCATGTGAGCCAAATGGATGGGCACTGAAGCTAGCAGGACTGCAGCAGCCCTGCAGAATTGGCTCACAGTTCAACCTGGCATTGGGCATCAGTTAAATATTTAAACATGCATGGTGGGTCTCAATGAGTGAATTACTATTTTTAATGTTTTAACCACATAAGGCATTTTTAAAGGAAAAGGCGTTACTTGAAATCATTGCCCTGGGTGCCCTTCCTGTGCACATTCCAATCTAAAACACCCAGTCCTACTGTGTGGGTGGCACATGCTCATGACCTCAGAGCTGGGAGGCTGAGGCAGAAGGGGAAAATTGGAGTCCCATCTGTACAACTAGTGAGAATCTGTCTCAAAATTTTAAAAAGGGGTGGAAGTATAGTTGGGGCACCCCCTGGGTCCAAGCCCCAGCATGACAAAAACAAAACAAAATCACAAACTGAGCCTTTTTTTTTTTTTTTTCCTTTTGATAATACTTGCCTTTTCAAAACCCAGGCTGGCTCCTTCACTTGCCAGCTCTGCGCCAGGTGCCCTGAGTGTGCCAGACTGTCTCCAAGCCCCTGCCCAGGTCATTCCTTGGGACCCTGTAGGCCTCAAGACTGGAACAGATCTGCCCTGGGTTAGCCAGTCAGTCACAGGAGCCTGAGCTGGGTCCTAGGTAGGATGTGTGTGGGCACAGCAGGGGCCTTGCTATCCCACATCCTCTCCTTCAGGCCTCACCCACGGCTACACCCAGGAGATGCTCTACACTGCTCTCCCAAGAGAGGGTTCAGCCCCAGCCAGCAGCATCACTGCCGAACCCCTGTCCCCAGGATGGACAGTAGAGAACACTGGTCACCAGAGCAAACGGTGTCCTCAGTGGGGGTGACTAGATACCACATCCCAGACACAAGGAAGCCTTGGGCCTTACCTTGGCGGTGCAGGTGGCCCTCAGTGGCTCAATGAGCCGGTCCACCCTCTGTAGCACGGGTGCCGGGCACAGCGTTGCCAGTCGAGCCAGCAAGATGAAGGTCAGCATCTGCCAGGAGTGAGGAAATAGCATCAGAGAGAGGTTTAATGTCGCTGAGAGACTGGCCTATGCTTCATGTGGACTACTTTGCATGCTCCGGGTGGTCCATTCCCAGTATCAACTGAAGGTTCGGATGTTGATATTTGCTATATATATATATTTTTTTTTGTTTGTTTGTTTGTTTGTTTTCTGAGGCAGGATCTCTCAGCAATCCTGCCTCAGCCTCCTGTGTGCTGGGATTGCAGGCATGCATCATCACACCCAGCACCATCATATTTATTTACCGTATACACAAAGCAGCAAAGGGCCTGGGGAGTAGATCAGTGGTACAATGCTTGCCTATTAGGCACCAGGCCCTGGTTCAAGCCCCATCACTGTAAAAATGCACTGATTCCTATTATATGGGTGGATAAAGTGTAAAATGTAAAAGAAATGAAGGGAACCTCAATCTTCCTGGTGGTCACCTCCCGGCCTCACCCTACAGGTGAGACAATGGCCCCAACTTCCAGCACCAGCCTTCATCCTCAGGGTAGCGCCCCTGCCACCATCACTGCCACCACTATGACTCTTGGGTTGCTGGCTTCTCCTGTCCCCAGGGAGCTTCACAGAGCAGGGCTGTGCATGACCCAGGCTCTGTGCCTGCACCAAGGGCTACGATAAGGCTGGTCCAGGAAGTAGGGAGAAGGGGGACAGAGACTGGGCCAGCCTAGGATCCTACCCGGATGTCGTAGTGGTCCTTCAGCCCGTCCTCCACATGGCTCAGGAACTCACTCAGGTCCAGCTGGCCCAGGCAGCTCTCCAGCAGGGAGTACATGCACTCAAAGGCTGCTTTGCGCACATCAAGCCCGTCGTCCACCGTGTGCTTAAAGGGCCCCATCTCCACCTAGAGAACCACGGGGCTGGGGATGTGGCCAGGGCAGGGACACCTCTGTCAACCATGTATGCATAGGTCTCCTGGCCTTTGCTTGGCCTGCAGTGCCCTTTCCCTTGCAAGGTTGCAGTAGTGACAGCGACAACAAAACCATGCTCAGGGCTTGGCAATCTTTGGCAGAAGTCCTAGGGCTGGAACCCAGGCATGTAATTCACCTGCTTCAGCCTCCCAGAGTGCTGGGAACATAGGTGTGCACCACAACACTCAGCTTTCTTGGGGTCCCTGCACCTTCCCCTTTGGTGCTGTTCTCTCCTCTGCTTCTTACCAGTAGTGAATTAGGCATACCCTCCTCCCTGACCCTGCGCCATGATGCTCCTGCCTTGGAGCAGCTGGCCATGGACTGCATCGCTGAAACAGTGAACAGTTAAAACTCTCCTTAAATTGTGGGGTCAGGTGTTATGTCCCAGAGACCGGGAGTGACTAGTTCAGATGTAGACAGGACTGTTTCTTCCACACTGTCCTAAGAACAGACTGATGTTCAGAGGATCTGGGTTCCCTGGCTGGGACATGCAGTTGGGATGAGGTGGCAGGACCTGCCCCAAGTGCCCTCACCTCTCGGATGAGGTCCCGGCGGACCTTGGTCTCCTGGTAGAGAAGTGGCAGGATGGTATCTAGCAGGTCCCGAATCAGTGAGGGCTTGTTGTGCACAGCTGAGTTAAAGAAGGCCAGCGTGGCACGGCGCACGCTCAGGTCTGGGTCCCGTAGGCTCTCCATGAACTCCGCTGTGGGACAAAGAGGCTGAGGAGCACAGCCAAGCACCAGCTTGTCCTGCTGCACCAGCACTCAGCTTTCCCCAGCTCCTCTGTGCCTGGCACAGTCACACTCAGAGCCCTCAGAGTCCAGGATGCCCTGCCTCACATTTCTCCACATGACCATAGTCTATGTAGAGCCTTGGTGTTTTCATTTGTAAAATGCTAATCACAACACCTACATGGTAAGACTATGTTTAGGATTCAGGATGTGGTACTGTTTACAAAGCACAGAGTAGAGTGCCTGGCTCAGAGGAAGGACAGGAACAGTTAGCCAGGCATGGTGTCACAGGCCTGTCATCCCAGTACTCTGGGATGTTGAGGTAGGAGGATGACCATGAGTTAGAGAAGAGCCTGGACTACATAGTGAGATCCTGTCTCAAAAAACAAAACATAACAAAATGGACCAACAATAACACATTAAAGCAAACCTGGAACAGCCTAGGGACTCTGGGGTGCCAGTGCCAGCAACTTGGTCAAGATGGAGACAGAGGGTCAGGGTACAAGTAAAGCTGCCACTAGCCATGCTACCAAGGCTGCAGGACATGACCTCCAGTACAGGGCAGGTCACATCTGCTAGACTGACCTCCAGACTCCCACAGCCCCCTAGCAGAGGGACCAGCATCAAACTAACAGGGAGATTACTGTCTAGACTCCTGGAACCAGGGGATAGCAGAGCCAGGGTTCACACCTCAACCAGGAAACACTATAGCTTGGCATCCCTTTTGGGGCTACCTTTGAGGCTACAGAGGCATAGGTTCCTAGGCAACCCAGGGATGGCCCATGGACTGCAGGCTTCAGGGTGAAAGTGGGTCCTGGGCCTTAGGAGCCCAGATGCAGTGGGTCTTTTTCTTCCAAGAACCTGTTGTTCACAGAGCACCCCTCTATGAAGCCCCAGGGGTCTCCATGATGACCTTCCCAGGAAATTCTTGTACCTATTGGATGGATGAGGAGCTGGCCCTTCATTGGTAAGAAGGGCCCACCTGACTTGCCCAACACTTCATGGTTGGCCTGCTGCCCACCCTCTGCTGCACTGCCATGTGGGGGGCCCTAGGGCAGCTAGAAGACTGGAGGACAGGAAAGCGGTGGGGCATGGGGCACTCACCAATGAAAGTCTTTAGGAGAGGGTCGATGGGGTGCGGCTGGTCTGAGATGAGGAACTTGACTGCTGTGATGACAGTGCTCCGGGTGTGTGGCTGACCTGTGGGGCAGAGGTAGATCAGGGAGCAGTGGGGTTAGGGTTGGGGTTAAGTTTAGAGTTAGGGTTAAGGGCTTGGGGATAAAGTTAGGGTATGGTTAGGGTTCGGGGTAACAGTAGGTTCAGGGTTAGTTGTTAAGTAGGCCTTATGATGATGGATTGGGATCTGGGCCTTGCCAAACCCTGAGAGACGGAAGTGCTCCTTCCCCTCTTAGGAAGTCCTTTGCACTATGTGGGAATTCACACTCATCTCCCTGAATTCTGTCAGAAGTGCTCAGCACAAGACATAATAGGATGGACTGGCACAGACCCCTATGACCAGGGCAGGGTCACTCTGGGACTTTCCTTTGGAATATGGGTCTGTATTATATATTTCAGATGCATTATCAATCAGTCCTTAATTGATGGTTACTTAATTAGTAATGACATTTTAACTTTAGCAATGAAAATTATTATTCCCCTGTGTTTTACACTGGAATATGAGAGATTTAGAGAGGGTCAGAAGCCACACAGCAGACCCAGGGCTCCTCCTCCTTTGTCCTTCTCTGGGTTGGCTGTGTGCACAGGGCATCCAATAGATCTCAGCCCTGCCATGACTGGGTTGAGCTTTGTTGCTCAAAGCAGGGGAGCTCAAGGATAGGAGGGATGTGCAATTCCTCAGTCCCTAGGGCAAACCTGAGCAGGGAGCAGGGATGAAGCTGAGTGAGGGATAGTGCAGACAGAGCCATGGGAGTCTGGTACCTGCAGGATGGTCCACATGCCCTGCCTCTGGGCCATTATGGGCAGTGGTGGAAAGGTGAGGTGGCCAGCAGATTGTTTTCAGTGACCATGAGAGCCAGAAATCAGGGCCCAGGAGAAGCAGACCCTTGCTCTGGGGGCTCCCTGTGCTGAGACCCATGATATCATCCATAACATGACCAGGATCAGACAGTTTTACCTTGCAAAGCCAGAAACCTGTGCAGGCCTGGACAGCAACCATGGTATCCACAGGAAGCTCTGATTTACCCAGCACCCATTATTATTTATTTATTTATTTATTTAGGACAGGGTCTACAGGGTCTCACTACATAGATTGGACTTATAGTGATTCTCCTGTTTTCAGCCTCCCAAGTGCTGGGATTACAGGCACATGTACCATACCCAATCTCAATTGCCATCTCAGTGTGCCCTGGGAGTGGGGCCAGCATGGCACATCAGGGATCAAACCTCAGCTGCTGTGCTCTGCCTAAGCAGGAACTTTAGTCTGTTGAGCTATCTGGCCGCCCCTTCTCCAGCATCCATTAGGTGCCATACACTGTGCCCACCTGTGTCCAGCAACATAGTCCTGGTCCTGCTAGGGGTCTGCAACCATGCCTGAGGACTGGGCCTTTGTTCCCAGCAGCTTTCAGGATGCAAGAGCCCCAACCCACCTGCGGCTTCTATCTGGACTGGGCTGAACATCCCCACCATGTGCCCTGCATGACAGCACCGCATGGTTTCCCTAGCCCAGCCCTCTCCAGATTCCATGGTGTATCCTGAAATCTCAGGCCATGCTGACACCTGGCAAGGTGCTCGCTGACCCCAGAGTGCTGCTCCTCTGCCAGCCTTAGCCTCCAGCTGAGCCCTGCAGTGAATGACCTCAACTGTAGCACTCAGCTGCCCCCACTGAGGACAGTGACAATGGTGTTAGCATTTAGCTGTAGGGCCAACCAATGAGACTTCAGGGGATGGCTTCAGGATTCACCATATTTACCTAACCCAGCAATACTCAGGGTCCTTCTCTGTATGGAAGTAACACTGTAGCACATGCTATCAATCACATCTAGATGGACGTTGATATGTGAGTGTCAGCAGGGCAATGAAGGCAGGAGAAACTCAATGCGTTTGGCACAGGCTCAATTTTCTTAGACAGGGTCTTGCTATGTAGTCCAGGTTGCCCTTAAACTCACTATGAATCCTAGGCTGGCTTTGAACTCACAGGGATCCTGACTCACTCTCTCTAGTGCTGGGATTACAGGCATGCACCACCACGCCTGGCCAAACACATTTTTTTTCCCCTGAATATTTCAATTGAAGTCAGTCAGCACGGGGATTCCTGGTTATTTAACCATTGTTTCTTTAAAGGATGACGTTGTAATAGAATATTAATATTCCACCTAAAAAAGAAACTATTAGTGTTTAGACAAGATATTATGTCTGCATCTTATACTATGAATAACTACTACAAAGACAACAATGTGCAATGTATTAATTATTTTAACTGTCCTACTAACCTGTTTTGAAACTGTCTCATTGCTACTTCTTTCTCAATAAAATTAATATAAAAAAAGAACTATGTATCCTGTAGGGAGCCACTGAAGTTGGAAATTGGTTACACATATGGGGGTGAGGCAAGGCCAGTCAGAGAACAGAGAGCACCTAAGGCAAGTCACCTGAACAGGCTGTCTCCCCAGTCCAGAGAACACCAAGCCCTGAGACAATCCAAGTAAAGGGTTGCTAGGCAAAGGGGTGTCATGTAACACCCACCTGCCAAATGTATAAATAAAGGCATTATGGTGGGTAAGCTGTCATTGTCCTTTCCCACTGGGAAACTTCAAGAGCCCTGCAGGCCAAGGTGGCATCCCTCAGGAGGTGATCCAACCACTTGTCACATCTTACAGAATACCATTTCTTCCCCTCTGCCAACAGCAGGCCAAAGTTTCCTTTCAACTACAAATACATATATAATTCTGATTCCCTGGATCACCAACCCTAAGTATCTTATAAACATTTGCTAATTAATTCTACTTGGAACAACTTTTTCTTTTTCTTTTTTTGTGGCTGGCTCAGTAACAGCATGTGGTGCCAGGGATTGAACCTCAGTCCCTGTGCTTGCCTAAGCTTGCCTAAGCAGGCGCTTTAGACCACTGAGCTATCTTGCCAGCACTGTTTTTGTTTTTTAATGTGAGGAGCACCAAACCCTAGCAAAGAAAACATCACTTAGTCTTCCAGCCACACCTGGCTGTGGTTGTCAGACCTGACAGCAATGACAAGGGCCACATGACCTGACGATGGTGCTCCTGGGATGATGGTTCCAAAGTGCTCCTCATGGTAAAATCAAATATGAGAACCTCAGCCTCTCCCCTGACCATGCAGTCCTCTTGGACCTGTCCACTGCTCTCTTGCAGGGCAGCGTAATTAACTTTCATCAATACCTTGACTACTGGGACATTCTTTTCACCACTCATGGCACCAGCTTCTCACACGCTGCGCCTCACACAGCAGTGGAATCTACAGATCAGGATCCCAGATACGGATGGCTGGTTGTGTTTGTGGTAGGGGCCCAGCAGATCTTCGTCCCCTCTACAGGCCCCTTTGCCTGGATGCGTGGACCCTGCAGCCCTCACACCTAGGGACTGAAGGCAGCAGACAGTCTGGGCCAATGTGGGCTGTGCCTACCTGTTGTGAGCTGCTTCTGCAAGCGGGGAAGGAGGAATGAGGGGTTCACGAGCACCAGCTTCCCGATGCACTCAGCCACCACACCCCGGGTGCCCTCCTCAGTGCCCTCACAGTGCTGGAAGAGCAGCACCCAGATGTCCTCAGCATAAGGCTTCAGGCCATCAGGTGGTGCGGCCCCCAGTGCTTCCCGAAGTGCCTGTAGTAGCAGGTACTGGCGCCGTGGCTCTGCTTCGATCTGTGCCAGCAGGAAGGGCAGGAAGTCCGGCAGGTTCCTGGCGCCCACACGCCCCAGTGCATAGGAGGCTGCAACCCGCACATCCTCACTAGGTGAGCCTAGGGCTTCCAGCAGCACAGCCTTCAGCTCACGCTGGGGGCCTGGCCCGGCCACCTGCCCTACCTCAGCTAGTGACAGGAAGGCCAGCACCTTGACTCCTGTGCTAGAGTGTGGTGACCTGGCATCCCTGACCAGGCGGTTGGCTGTGCCTGCTGCCTCCTGAGGACAGGCAGCCGAGAGGGCGGCCACACAGCGGGCCAGTGAGTGAAACACCTGCTTGTGCAGGGATGGCCCTCCATCTCCAGCCTGCTCATATATAGGTGCTGTGAGCAGGCTGAGAAGTTCATTGTAGGCCACACATGGGGGGCGGGTCCCCACCAGTTCCTGCAGGAAGCCCTCAGCAGCCACTAGCACACTGGCTGGCAGCAGTGGAGAGCGCAGCAGCCGTAATAGCTCAGCCAGCACGGCGCCACTGACCTCCACCAGGCAGGCTGGCTGGGCTGGAGTCACAGTTGCCAGAAAGTCTATGGCCAGCTGGGCCACATGCATGTCACTCTCACTAACCAGCGCAGGCAGCTCAGCCAGCACGGTCCGTACAGCAGATGGTGGGAGATCACGGCCCTGACCTTGGGCCAGGGCATCCAGAGCGGTCAGCGTGGCCAGCCTCAATGCCCGCTGGTTCTTACGCAAGAATGAAGCCAAAATGGGCAGCACCTCAGCAAGGATGGGCCGCAGATCAAGCTGCAATGGTGATGCAGCCACCAGCGTCAGTGCCTTGACAGCAGGCAGCCGGGTGATCTCATTTCGCAGACGGTCAAGGAGGAGCAAGAGTGTGGGGTGCAAGGTGTCTCCAAGCTGGTCTCCCAAGTGGCCTACAAGGTGGCCCACACAGGATATGGCCCGCTCCTTCACCTCTTGGTCCAGGTCGGTGGCACGGAGCCGTACCAGCATGGCCTCAGACATCTCTGCCACATAGGGTGTGGGGTCCAGCACCCGAGGCTTGCCCAGTGGCCACAGAGTACACACCAGCTGCTGGAGCACTAGCAAAGCCTCAGCTGCAATTTTATAGAAAGGGTCAGCCACACAGGCCATCACCGGTGGCAGGAGGATGGGTAGGTGGGGATGGAAGGCCTCTGCTGGCTCTGTGCCCAGCAGCCCCTGCAGGAAGGTCAGGGCATCCATCCGGATGGTAGAGGAGCTGGAGCGGTCAGCCAGTGAGAAGACAATGCCTGTGGGGTGGGGATGAGATTAGAGGACTGGGGACCCACCTGGGATGGCCTCCTGAGGCTCTAGACCAAAGTGCCTCATCCCAGAGGTAGATGTTTCCAAGTGTGCACTGCTTGGCCAGTAGCCAGCACAGGGGAACCCAGGGAAGGGCCTGTGTCAACTTGGAATGGGGCCCAGGCTTCCTGGATAGCTACCTGGTGGCCTGCCTCACCTGATACTAACACAGGCATGTGCTCTGCCAAGCTCCCTGGGAGGACGCCTGCCAGCTCTGCCAGGAGGCTGAAGCAGCCCTGGCGTACACGGGCACTGCGGTCTTTCAGCTGCCGCTGCAGGGCCTTAATCACCAGGGGAACCTGCGGATGGGAGAGGCAGTTAGGGTCATCCTTGAACACCTGTGAGCAGGTGGGACACCTGGGGGCAGCCAGGGAATCCTCTGCATTCCTTTCGAGCAGGGCACCTGATTAGGACACCTGGATGGGAATTCCAGCACCTGGCTTACAGGTACAGAGACTTAGGGACAGGTCCGGGTCATTCAGAGTCTGGCTGTCACTGCAGCTCTTACATCAGTAGCAGGGGCCTGATCAGTCCCACCACATAGTGTCCACTCCTTGGCTTGATTCTCTCCCTCAGCATCCTTTTCAATCTGAGACCCAAGATACCCAGTATGTAATTTTAGCCAGCTTGATATAGTTTTGTTTTTCTTTTTCCCCCCTGACACTGGCTTGTGACATGCTTCATGTCCCCCAAGGATCCTGGGTGATGTTTGGCCTGTGAAAGGTATGAGAGGTCCTGAGATCTGGATGGTGCTGCTCCAGGAGCTGTGTGGTGTTGCCGGGAGATGCTGAGCATTTCTGAGCAAGCCTGGGCAGCCCTAAACTCTGATCTAGATCTGGCCAGATGGCCTCTTCTCTGCACACATTCTGGCCTTGTTGCCATCACAATGGTGTGCTGTGACCAGGGAGTCCTAACCAGAGCCACACCAGGCTGCTTGGATGTCTGTCTCCAAACCCTGAGCTGAACCGAGCCATTTCCTCGATGAAGCACCCAGTCTTCATTATTTTGTTACAGCCTCTTGTAAAGACCTCAAACATAACTGTGTAGTCTCAGTGTGTCCCACCCCAGGAAAATGCCACTTCCTGCTATTACCAGCAGCAGGAAATCACATGATCCTGTCTATGTTGGGGAATACCCAGCCCATCACCAGCATGGCCCATGATTCCACCTGCAACTACTTCCTCTATCCTGCCACTACCACTGGGCCTATATGTTGTCTCCTGTTCCTGGATAGCTGCAAAGTCCTCCTATTGCCCCCACCTTGCTTCATAAGGACCACCCACATGGGTGCAAGCTTTTTCATCTGTACCCTGGCTGCCACTGTCCCCTCCTGAGATTTTCACTTGTTGTCAAGTGAAGCAAGCCCATCCTATGCCTATGTACCCAAGACTATGGGTAGCACAGGTCCATGGGTGAGGGGAGAACAGGAAAGGGGCCAGGCTAAGGTATAGAGGTAATAGCAACCGGCCCACCTGTCCTTGCAGCACCTGGAGGCTGCTGCCTGCAGGAGTGGGCTCCTCCACTGCCTTCACCCAGCCCTGAAGTGGCCGAATCTGTCGCAGCAGCACAATGTAGGCGGCAAACACGTCAGCCTTGACATTGTCCTCTCGCTCGCAGAATCTGTGCACAAGTGCAGGTGCCAGACTGCGGTGCAGGTCAGGCAGCAGGTCAGGCCTCGAGCCCAGCAGGGCTGCCAAGCACTTGGCTGCCGCCCGCCGTACCTTCCAGCTCATGTCGTCATCATCACTGTACTCTTCCTCGGTCTCTGGCAAGAAGGAGACACAAGGTCTGTGCTTCGGGGACAGGAGACAGCTCATCATCTATACTTAAACTCCCTTGACAGAGGCCCTGAGTCTGTGCTGTGGTGGGACCAGGCACCCCAACCTCACAGCACACTGCTTCCAACCAGGAACAACAAGGAAAAGCCAGGTATTATGATTATGATTATGATTATTACTATTATTTTAAGACAGGATCTCTCGGGGCTGGAGAGATGGCTCAGTGGTCTAAAGCACCTACTTGGAACAAGCTTGGCAAGGCATCAGGGACCGCGGTTCAATCCCCCAGCACCACATGCCAGCCAGCCCCGCCCCCTGGTGGGCTGAGCTGGCCACACACACACACACACCACTCTCTCTCTCTCTCTCAAATAAAAAAAATAAAAATAAATAAAAAAAAAATAAAAAAAGACAGGATCTCTCTGTGCAGTCCAGGATGGCCTGGGACTCACTATGTACTTCAGGCTGGCCTTGAATTCATAGCAATCCTCCTACTTAGCCTCCCAAGTGCTAGGACGACAGGTGTGTGCCACCATGCTTGGCTCTGTGTGCCTCCTACTCTAAAGCTCCCATGAGAGGCAAGAGCACCTCAGAAAGGAAGGTGATGCTGGGCTCACTTCACAGATGGCAAGATGGGGCTCAGAGAGGACAAGACATCTGCTCAGGGCATACAGCTAAGATTGCAGTGCTGAAATGCAGGCCAAGAAAGCCCACCCAGGTCACTTGGGCACACGCATGACACCGAGAACCACCCTTGGGCCATTTTGAGGATGATAAAGACTCAGAGCACACAAGTCTAGATGAGCTGCAGCAGGCCATTCCCTCCTCCCTGTGCCACCCTAGATGAAATGTCCATGGCTTCCTATGACTAGCAAGAAAACATCTACACTACTCCCTGGCTTGACATCCATAGGTCCAGCTGCCTACCCACTCTCACTCCTACCATGAGGCCTAAATCCCCATCTCCACCTGTACCCTATCTTCTAGGCCTGGGACATTTCTGCCATGACACCTGTATGAGTGACAGGACCACAGCCCTGGAGGGAAAAAGTTGCATCCATTCCCACCCAGGCTCCCCCATCATGCCCATCTGTCCCCCAGCACATTCCTCTCCTGGATTAAAACTGCCATCTCTTGACAGCCATGAATACAAGGGTTCAGAGCTGGCAGCCAGAGCCAGCTCCAAATCCCAGCACTGTCACTGCCCAGGAAAATCTCTTCTTAGCATGTGTTCTTGGTCTGGGACACAGGGATAATCACAGTGGGTGCTTAGTCATTGTTCAGAGCATGGAATGAGAGCCCAACACATCAAATGATAGCGGTTACAGCCACCCTTGGTAGCCCTAGGGACTGGTCCCTAAATCTCTCCATAACAAAACCTGATAAGCTCAAATCCCTCCTGAAAAATGACAATGTTTGCAAATAGTCTGTGCACACCCTCCTGAATACTTTACTCCTCCAAATTGAGTTATGGGGTATGACCCAAAAACATGGTGAGTATTTAAGTTTCTTAAGTATATTACAGTAAAAGACATGTCATTAATGTCCCTCAAGATACTCTTATCCTCAGGGCCAGGGAGATGGCTCAGTGGAATAAATGCTTCCCTGGCAAGTGCAAGGGCCTGAGTTCAATCCCCGGTTCTGCAAAAAAAAAAAAAAAAGAAAGAAAAAAAGATACTCTTGTCCTCCTCGCCACCTTCTAAAGCAGTTCTAGAAGTCTTCTTTAGTGGATGGGATCAAAAAACACAGTAAGTGCTGCTGTCAAGTGCCATCCAATAGAAAGACAGGTTCATAAAATATGACACCATGTCCTCATCTACTTTATCTACTACATGTGGCACCATACAACTTCTGGCTCTTTCCCAAAGTCAAAATGACCATGAAAAGTCAGTGTTTTGAATCAACTGAGGACACTGAGGCAACTACAATAGCATACTACAGACACTCATGAAAAGACTATCAGAATTGCTTCAGAAAGTGTCAAGGACAATGAGATCAATGTGTTCAAAGTGAGGGGAGGATTTTAAGGGAGATTCATTATAGTGTGACTTTTACTGTAATAAAAAATCTAAAATGTAAGCATTCACTGTGTGTGTTTAATCATACCCTCATGTAATGCCTACTACAATGTAATGCCACACATATAGTCATTGTATATTATTTAGGGAGTAATGATAGAAAAAAGCCTGTACCTGTTCACTACAAACAAAACCTTGAGCACTTTCACTCTGCACATGTGGACGCAGAAGTGGATGGGGAAGCCCTAGACCTCGAGGCTGTGGCACAAATCTGTGGTGGGCCCGAGTAGCCAGGGAGGCTGGCATTCAGTAGCCCTGATGGAGCCCCATCTTTAGCTGGGGGATCCCCAGAAGGCTGGGCCCACCCCCTACCCCAGCCTCATGACAGCCCTCACCCACCTTGCTCACTGGACTCACTGTCCTCTGTCTCCATCTGCTCCTCATCCTCATCACTGTTGTAGTTGTAGTTGGGATCATGCTTCAGGTACTGGAGGCAAAGTCTGGTCACACTGGGCACATAGGGCCCCATCTCTTTGGGGCACCTGTTGAAGGGCAAAGGAGGCTCTGCTGGGCCAGGCAGGGCAAGGACATTCTGCCCCCTTCCATTCTTCAGGACTTGGGGCACCTACTTCCTCAGGAAAGCCTCACAGGCCTGCAGGCAAGACTCTCGGAGCTCGTCGTCTTCCAGGCTACAGAACTCCTCCAGCAGTGGCACCAGGCGGTCCAAGTGGGGCCCTGCAGGCCAGGCAGGGAATGGGGCCAGGTAGGACACTTCAGAGTCCCCAACTCATGGACCTCAGCCCTGCAGCCCTTGGCCCTCCCTGTGACCCCCCTTCCTGCCAGTCTGACCAGAGCAGACTCAGCACAGAGGCTCTGGTGGCAGATGCAGGCCCAGCCCTGACTTCCACCCATGTGCCATGGGACTTGGGGTATGGGCCAAGGCCTCCCTGACTCATCTACTGATCTGTTTTGGAGGGATGGGTGAGTGCTAGATCACTGAGCTACAGTCACGGCTCTAAATCTAAATTCTGTGATGATGCTAAGCTTAGACAACAGTAAGCACTTCTGCCGAACCTCCCTATGTGGCTTTCATCCCTCTTGTGCACTGGGTCCTAGCGCTCCCCCCTCAGAGAAAGAGAGAGAGAGAGAGAGCGCGAGCGAGCAGAATCCTACCTGTGTCCTTCCCCAATGCACTTGGGGAGGGGCAGGAGCACACAGACCTGGAAACCCCAGCAATCTCTGTTGTTACTCACTGAGTCTCCTGCTCAGCACCCTGAGCCTTGTCCCAGGCTTGCAGCCTTTTTCCTGGCAATGGGTGCCTATAGGTTGGCTGAGGTTTCAGGCAGAGTGTACCCAGCAGGGGGCAGTCCCTACACTCACACCCAGCACTCAGCACACTGGCCCGGAGAGGAAAGACTGGGCTGCAAAGGAACCGAGACGCATGGGGTGGGGGTGGGGGGACGCGCTGTAGAACTGTGATAGAACTGAGCTTCACAAAAGCATATGAGGGTCAAAATGCACCGAATGTTCACTAAATAGGGAGCTAATTTTAGGTGCGGTATTCCCAAATAAATTTTAAGAAAAGTCAAACGTGGCTCACAGGTTATTATTAGAGTGTCTGTCAAATTAGGCAGGCAGAATCTATTTTATTTAAAAATCCGGCCCCTTGATTTGCAATGAGTTACGTGCGAACCTTCCAGACCACAGAAGTGATAGATTTGCACCCTTTCCGCGCCAAAGGCAAGGACCAAGATCCCTGTGACACTTGTGCTAAGCCCCACCCCGCCCCTCGCCCCGCCCCGCCCCGCCCCACCCCACCCCACCAGGCACCTCCCCTTCGAAACCTTCTTAGACCCGCCCAAGCACTGGTCCAGACCCCGCCCTCATCTTCCGTCCC